TAAATCTTAGTCAGAGGAAACTGTTGTATTTTTTATTATCAAATAGTACACAAATACACAAGTAATTGATACATTTAACATTGTATTTGTGTTATGAATGAGTTCCAACTAAATTTACATTAATTTTAAAGGAATAATGAAGAAATTTGGTTAAGAATTGAGTAAGATACAGAGGAAAGTGTGTGCTCACTGTATGAGACAGTGAGCTCAAGGTGTGGCAGGTGGGGAGGGCACAGTTGCCATATAGGGCACTCAGCATACTTATTTTATTTTATTTTATTTTGACTTAGAATTTTTTTTACTATTTAAGTCTAGTATTAAGTACAGTTAGGGAGAAAAGCTCAAAAGGTACCTAATTAGAGGGACTACAAGGGTCTTGTACACCCTCTAATTAGGCCCCTTACAGTATGTCCCTCAGGTGGAAATCACACCACGGAGGCTCTCAATAGAACAGGTAGAGTATTTATTACTCTAGCTAGTTTCTTACTGATTAAAGTTCTCGCGAAGGTTGTCTGTTATCGAGCAATCTACAGGAGCTTCAATCATCTAGATCAGAGATTGCAGATTCAGGATACAGATAATGACAATGAAAGCGACACATATATCAGAGTTGGGGATTTGGATGTACTTCGCTGGTTTGAGAAGTACCAATAGCGATGCATCAGTACGTTCTCGTACATACTTGATAGTGAATATACGCATGTCGACTGTCTATCAAGAGTGGTATCTATACATTGTACCTGAACTAAATACATTAATTATTCTGTCTTTAAATATGATAACTAATAAGAAAGCTCGTGATCATTACGGTTTATGTGAAACGGACAGATCTCCAATGCGGAAAGGCATAAATAATATATAATAACGTCTGTGATTGTTCAAGCCCAGGAGAAATGATCCAATCAAACCAAAACTAAAACCTGTACTGCTATGCAAGACTGCTCGAGGATGCCATGAATGAACTCCGATCGAGGTATGGAGGCGGTAGCTCTCGTATATCAGCAGCGTCCTCGTGTTGTATAATAGGTCGTTTTGGCGCCATTTCCATATCTCCAGAATTATCAGAGGCTAATCGCGAGTATGACTTCCTACCAGTTGATGCTGTGTTCGGGCCTACCCACGCATCAGGGAGGATTGCGGGTTCTGGTCTGCCAGTTTTACTTAGGAGACGATTACGACGGCGGCGTAAGAAGAGAAGGACGCCAGCGAGAAGAGCTAAGCCGACGACGACGGCGACAATTATGATGATCCAGAATAACGAGCTTTTGTGTTTCCCGTCGGATGAGTTTGAGTCGGATGTCGAAGGTGTATGCTGATTCAGATTGGAAGAGGTGCCGGAGGATAGTTTTACTGGGCACTCAGTTGCGTCGGTAATATTTGCACCGCTACTCTTGAAGAGACCCGTACTAGATCCCCACACCCCGTTTGCATCAGATACAGAGACTAAACAAATATTATCAGATTAATTCGAATAAATGCACATGCCAGGTGGCATACCAATGAACTGATTATTTGGATTGACTCGATTAGGCCACGTCAGAACGTCATCGCCATCATTGAGCGTCACATTCGAAACCAGTACAGTATTCATTCCTGCAATGGAAACGGTGTACGGCTTTTTACCTCCTGTCATGCTTAGACCTAGAGGTTCACATGTGTCCACGGAATCCGACGTGGATACATTTGGAGATATAGTGATAGTCGTGGATGGCGTAGGAGGTAAACAGCTAGAACCAGAGCCATTATCTAACGTTGTACTTGTGAGAGACGGCGAGCCGATGAGAACAAAGGAGACTAACCTGTTACACTATACACAAATGGGTCTACACCACCCGTCATGCCAGTGCTGTCGGCGACTGCGAGAACAAGGGAAGAGCCTGAAGGACTCGTTAGGAGAAATTTGGGCAGGAATAATTATTCAATTTGCGCACCACTTGCGTGATTAACCTTCCATGACAAGCTTGACAAGTCCGAACCCAAGGGTGAGACTGTCGGGACACCATTCACCTTCCACGCAAACATGTAGTAAGGTGGAACGCCGAAACTCGTCGAGTTACTATTCGCTGCAACAACGGAAATTCCATAGTCCCCGCATTGTGCTAATGATGTCGAAACGGACTAGAAATGAACGGAACCACATCGAATGTCAGACGCGTGAAGCAAAAGGAGACCGAGGAACATACCGCGTCTTTCCAGCCCCATAGAAAAGCTGCGTTTGCAGATGAACTCATTGTTTTTGCACGAAAGGAGAACCACAAATAGAGCCCTGCCTACAGGCGGTGGTGATCTTTTGATAGCACTTGCAGCTTGACGCTGCTGCTTTAGAAGGTGTTCAGTGGGAGCAGGCACCAAGAGGGGTGCCGTAATACACATCGTCGACACATAAAAAGGCCGGGGTAAATTAGACCGCACCGCCCAATAATCATTTGTGATGAACAAGCGACCCTGCCGCCTGATGAAGGGCGGCGCGGATATCACAACTTTGATTGCTCAGCCGGGTAGTCCTTGATTTGCAGTGCCTCACTCCTTTTGCACTCCACCAGAGTTTTACTGTGCCTTCTCTTGCAGTGCAAGGCTTTTAGATAGAAAAGCAGGTAGTCTGTGCACAATGAAATTCGTCAATGAATGGTCAGAGGGGCGTGCAGGATATTACAGATATTTCTCTCACGTTTCTATGGTCACAACGTCATATCGATGACAGGTCAGGTCTTGTGGAAGGCGACAATTGAGTCTATGAAGGGAATATATAAAACTATTCTGAACATCGGAACCCTTTGGGACAGAAGAATGAGACAACAGTCCGTCGTGAACCTTATTACGATATGACATACCTGCAAAGGGAAATTACTATAATAAGCATAGACCAAATATGTATACGCTGATCATAGGTTAGGTAAGCAAAAAGTACAATTTCTATTCCACTTCAAAGAATCAAAGTTCAAACGTGAAGCAGATTTCTTCAGTTCATCAGCGACCTATGTCCCTTCTTGTCTCCAAACGCGCTCTGAAGCGCAAGAAACCATCATCAAGTGCTCTGGGCTCAAGGAAAAGACTAAGGAGGGATGTAAATTCAATAGAAGACCTACCATGGAAAAAAGTCTCGCGTCCTAGCGCGTTGGGCTTTGAGGGAGACGACGGCATCTTGGAGTTGGAGGAAGTTGAAGACGTTGAGGTTGTGTATGAGGAGACCAAGAACGGTAGGGTGGCAAGGTTTAAGGTGTGTACATGTATTCCGTGATATGTCGAACGCGTTTGCGTTGTTCAATGCTGACAATGTGATTGACCTGCGTAGGTCTTGGAAGATCAAGAGCACGAGCGAGGAAGTGTGTCACATGAAGACGACGATGAACGGACTAATGGAGACCCTGTGGTAGAAGAGGATGTATTCGACCGTGGGCTGTTTCTTAACCTATGATATTAGGTCCTTTATTCATCTTATTTTATAGTATCACTACTTCCTGAATGGTCGGACTTCTCATTACATGCCCGTCTCCTCTCCGCCTTGCACAGCCAGAAATTTGCAACGCCAACCCCTATACAGCGAAGTGCAATTCCCGTAGCTTTGAAGGGAAAGGACGTCGTTGGTGTAGCACAGACCGTGAGTACATTCATTTCTAATGCATATGCTATGCGTTTCTGAACATTCCTTAGGGCTCAGGTAAAACACTTGCTTACGGGTTGCCTATCTTAAATCACCTCCTCCAAATGGGACGTCCAAAAGGGAAACGACCTCTTCAAGCTCTTGTACTCGCACCAACACGTGAATTAGCGTTGCAAGTCACCGAACATCTAAAAGCTTGTGTTGTTGAAGATGCAGAGCGACGGACAGGTGCTCCACGTGTGAGCATTGGTACCGTCGTTGGTGGGATGGCGATACAAAAACAGATTCGTATAATAGAACGTGGAGTGGACATATTGGTCGCTACCCCAGGCCGTTTGTGGGACCTCATCGAAGAGGACAACTCTCTTTCCGAGCAACTTCGAACTCTCCGATTCCTCGTCCTGGACGAGGCGGATCGGATGATTGAGACTGGCCACTTTGCCGAACTGGACAATATTATCCGACTCACAACACGTCAATCGAAATCAACTGAAACGGACGAAGCGTTCATGTTTGGAGAGACCGAGACGCGAGGCAAAAACGATGAAAGCAATGAGGAAACTCCGATGCAGACCTTCATATTCTCTGCGACGTTGAGTCGTGACCTTCAACAGAATTTAAAGAAATGGAAGCGCATATCCAACAAGGTAACGAAGAAGGGAACAACCGACAAGCCTGTGTCGACGTTGGACGAGCTACTTTCGAGACTTGACTTCAGAGATCCGGAGCCGGAAGTGATCGATTTGAGCCCTGAGGGTGGGATCGTATCTACACTCAAAGAGAGTCAAGTCGAATGTCTGAGCGCAGATAAAGTGGGTATCGCTTCTCGTCCCAGATTGCTGAGAATATCTAATAAAAGTCTACTAGGACGTATATCTATACTACTTCCTTCTACGATATCCAGGACGCTCTCTAGTTTTCCTCTCCTCAATCGACGGTATCCGACGCCTTCTACCATTATGCGAACTCCTACAACTTCACGCTTTCCCACTTCATTCACAACTACAACAGCGCCAACGCTTAAAGAATCTCGACCGCTTTAAATCGACAGCTAATTCAATTCTCCTGGCTACCGATGTAGCTGCTCGCGGGCTCGACATCCCGAGTGTAGATCATGTCATTCATTACCAAATTCCACGATCCGCAGACGTTTACATCCATCGCAACGGTCGAACGGCGCGCGCTTCGCGTCATGGTTTCAGCCTTATCATGTGCGCGCCAGATGAGAGACGCATCCTTCGCGCGTTACATACCAGTTTGAATCGAGGTCAGCTTCGTACTCTCCTGATTCAGTAAAACGATTAAGTTGCTGACTGAACCAATAAATAGTGGGCGAGAACGAAATCCCCGATATGCCAATCGAGCTTGACCTCCTGGATAAGCTCAAGGGTCGCGTACAACTTGCAAAACGCATTGACGCAGCGGCACATCGCGTCAAGAAAGAGAAGCACGAAAGGAATTGGATGAAGGAAACAGCAGAAGCTATGGAAATCGAGCTCGATTCTGACATGGATGACAAGTACGCTGTCATCAATCTTAGTATTGCTCCACAGGAACTCTAATATATTGTTTTCCAGACTATCAGATGGAGATGCTCCATCAAAAAAGCGAAAAGATTCAAAAGTCAAACAAGAAACACAAGCACTTAAAGCGGAGCTCAAACACATGCTTTCCCAACCGCTAGTCGCAAAGGGCGTAATGAAGAAGTACATCACGTCCGGTGCGCGCAGCGTCGTGTCCGAGCTACTCAACTCGAAAGGTCCGTCTGTTTTCTGGTTCTGACTGTGTTTAGCACGCAGCTGATATTGAACAGGAGACGATGAGATGTTGGGATACAGGAGGGCGGAGGCGAGAGACGACTTGGTCAATACAAAAAGTTCGGCGGATAATAAGCAGAGACCCAAGAAATCGGAAGTGGAAGAAGAGTGGACAGGATTCGAGTGATAGCGCTACCGTCGGATAGAGGCCTTGTTAGCCCCTGTCTCTATTCTATATAATAACATAAGAGCTAGGTACCCACCAATATGAGACAGACATTGATTCCAAAATCCAGGCATTTAATCAGGCGACCTTAAAGAAATTATATTAACAACAGCATTATCAATCAAGTTAGTGAATTGCATCGCACACTGGTCCTTCGCGCAGCACGTTCACAAACGAAAAGCAGCCCAGATCTACATCCGTATGCTCTGCACCCGCAGTACTGAGATGTGGCTCGTGTGGGTGCATTGTGGGGAACGAGCCTATGCACGTAATCGTGATTCACTTTCACTCTTCAGAGAAACCTATCCTCCTGCTGTGAAAGTACTGTCCTAGTAGCTAGATTTCAACAATTCATATTGCTGGCTTGCATGAGACACACTTTAAGGTTATTTGGACCATCTATGGTGCTTTTATCGCACGGCTTTGATATGGAAATTGAAGACGACTGGACTGGGTTGATCTCGTAGTATTACAGTCTGGTAAGGGAAGGGGAAGATCTCGCTCTGGTCACTGTAGTGTATTATAACATCAGAGTACAAGTACTATCCAAGGCAGAGTAGATGTTGATTTCAAATATAGCTCTACAACCAGTTGATTCGAGAGGAATTTTTATTAATAATATTAGCAATGTCAAACAAGTTGATGGATTACAACATGCGTTGATCCATCGCGCACAAAATTAACAATCGAGAAACAACTCAGTTCTACGAGTAAACTATATGTTCTCGCACCACCCCGATACATTGTACGGTAGAACTTGCCTAGTTCGTCAAATCCATAGATGTGGATTGTCTTGGATCTGTCCCTATTTCTCGAAAGTAGGATGCCCAGTAGTATATCGATTATACATCCGTTTGATCTTGAGACCGCTAGCGTCTCAGCCAAACATTCATCTGGGTGTCGCAAGAAATGCTGCAAGTGCTGGGTACATCGTATAGAACCAACTATGGGATTGCATGCCTCGGTAGTCTGTATCGCGACCTCATAATGGCATGCAACGTAGGCACCTAGCTGGCTAGACTCAGATACTGCTGTAGCAATGATTGCTACCTTTACCGTGTCGGCAGTGGCATATTGCGATAAATTGTGCAACGTGATGTTCGAGCCGCTTGTTAGGAAAACACCCCTGGAGGGATCGTGGAGTGCATCAGAGAGGTCTTGAGAAAAGCGGTCGACTTCTGAGAAGTGAACGACAGGTATGTGGCCCAAGATTTTCCGAAGGGAGAGCACCTCCAGCTTCCAACCACCAGCAATTGAATACAATGCAAAAAATAGATGATCATGCATGATCTGAATGTCATTTACTGAGACCATGTCTTCCTGATAAAGCTTGGTCAAAGTGGAGACACAGATGGATTTCGTTCGCAACACGTACAAAGATGACATCGATCTGCTCTTCCATTTTCCAGTTCCACACTATTGCCGACCGTGTCTGAGAGTTATTCACAATAAGGGCAGCAAATTCACCATCTAAGCAGAGTGTAGAGACCCGAAGATTTTCATCTGATCCTCTTTGTGATGAATTGCGAGCAACTGGATGCTCAATAGCAGTACCATTTTCTTCATCTAGCTCTAAGCAGAACAGTTCAAATGACCTGGTCAATACATGATGAATGATTAAAATAGTGTCTCTAACATTAAAAGGTAAACTTACATTACATTAGACTTTGAATCAAAAGAAACAACAAAGATCATAATTGAAGAATCCGACATCTCCTCCAATGCAAATCCAATAAAATTGGAATTGCTTCCACTGCTGAGTGACATACGAGTCCAGACGCACGTATCCTTCTGGACATTATATACCCGTAGTTGCTTCTGATAGCCTATGAATAGCAATTTTCCTTGTAGTGCCAGCCTGAAGGATGTAGGTTCTCGCATGTCCAGCACATCGGCAGCATCGACGGGAGCCCCGATATGAACGATCTGCTTATTTCCAATAGAATCGGGGATATGTCCTTCACCAGCACCTTTGCATATCTTTATCCATCGAAGAGTCCTTACAACCAAGGATCGGATCTCCAGGTAATCAAGTTGTCGAATGTCGATGTACTTTGGCAGCCCGGGAGTACAACTTTGTCTAGCCAGTTTTCCAAGGAGCAATATCCACAAAGTTTTTGAAGCGACAATCTCCTTCAAGGCACAGCAAGTCTGTCAGACGGACGAAAAGAAGTGATCGTGAGCTAAAAACTTTTCTGCATGCAAAAAGGAGCCTCACTTGCTCAAGCATAAGAATATCCTGCCAGTCTGAAAGGGATAAGACTTTGAGAAGGACGTCCTTTGGAAGGTCAATGAGATGCATGGTTGATGCAATGTGTACTCGACAAACGACGTGAGTATTTCGAATCCGTGATCTTTGATTTTGATCATTGTAACTGGACCTCGGTCAATTACTTAGAAAGCGAAAAGACACAGAAAAGACTGCTGATGCACGTGATGGTGTTTCACTCTTTGCAAATTTAAAACCGTTGTCTCGCGTGGTCTTCGTCCTCTCAAACTGAAAAAGAGCATGAGTGATAGCCATGACATAACACAGCATAGCAATGCAATCTAAGATTTTCCATAAAACCAAGAATTAGTTCCGTAAGTACAAAAAAGCAAAGCAAGTTGCAAGGTATACTAAAGATTTAAGAGATAATGCAAGCAGCAAGCGAAATGGAAGATGAAAAATCAAAGAAAGATAATCCTAGCAGATAGGTAGATAGATTGAGAGAATGAATGGATGTGAACGTAATTTTGTTGCATTTATTCTTCCGTCGGTTTTCTGCTGATGACGAGGTACATCGGGGTAAAGAGCTGCCATCACGTACGTCAGCTCAATTGACATTACGAGCGAGAAGGAAGGAAACGGCATACCTTGGTCTGACCACCCTTAACGAGCGCCTCAGCGGCAACCTTCAAAGTCTCACTAACATCAAACGTCCCCTTCGGCATAACACCCAAAATCTCCAACATTCGAATAACATTATGTGAAACAAGTTGTCCACTCCAGCTCATTCGCCAAACGGTAATATAATCCCAGAACGTCTGGGCTTTGCGAATATCGCCTTCAAGAGGATAATACCAGGGTACGGCGTCAGGACGCTCTGCAAGGTCCTCTTCGTGCTCGATGACGAATCCAACGTTTTGGAGTGCAGCGCGCGCTTGTGAGAGTGGACGCATCTCCGGGATACCGTTCCCTATCTCGATCTGATGTGCGAGTTTCTTGTGTTCGGGGATTTCAGGATTCCACCGGTCCGTCATACACCACTCGTATACACCAAACACTCCTCCAGGCTTAAGAACGCGCTTAATCTCGCTATAGACACCTTCCCACGACGGTGCGTGCACAGTAGCCTCAATCGCATACACAGCATCGAAGCTATTCTCCCCAAACTGCTCCGCAAGCTTCATGAAGTCGCCCTTCTGAAACGTGACTTGATCTGAGAGACCTGCACGAGCAGTGTACTTCCTTGCACGTTGGACCTGGAACTCATTGTTATTTATCCCGACGATGTGTACGTCCGAAAAACGCGCAATCTCCCTCGCTGGCCCACCAACACCACACCCTACGTCCAATACACGCATCCCGGGCTTCAAACCCATTTGCGCAGAAAGGTAATGCTCGTGTCGGGCAAGTGACGCAGCGAAGGCTTCGCCCTTGTAGAACCGCGAGAAGTGGAAAGACTGTGACCAGCCGTATTCGTACAAGTCTGTTGCACCATCGTAATAACCGTTAACGACATCGGCATAGGATTCTAGACGGTTTTCCTTGTCCACACCAGCCTCCTTGGACATGTCCTTTTGCCAGAAGGCAGTATAGTTTTCGACGCGCTTCTCGACGCGGCCATCAGCGAGAACCTTGCTTGGCATGGTAGGTTAATCTAAAACAATGTTCGACAATGAGTATTTCTGTTCACGAACAAATCGAAATAAGTTGGCAAGAAGTCAGGGACTTGAATGGTTCCCGAAGGAAATATCCCATGGTGCAAATGCACGTCGAGCATTATGCAGAAAAGATATGCATCATCGAAGGAACAAACCAAATGCAGCACTCACATTCTAAATGATATCCAAGAGATGATAGAATGGGAGAGGGAGGGGAGAAGGGGGGAGGACGAGGGAAAGTGCTAGTGGCGGATCCTTATGAACCTGCGAAAGAGAAGAAGAGAAAAAAGTACGACTTTCTGTGAGTCGTTCGACATTATGTAATTTCATTCTCGCCGTATCAGCGGACCGGAGTTTAAATTTCTAAACTCCACGTAACGGTGATCAACGCAGGTACGCGCCTCTCTGTCGCCAAGAGCAAAGCCCACTTTGATCAAATCAACAAGAATCAACAATGATCTTGGTTAGACAGTCTCCTCGACACGCGTGTCTCCTGCAAGGAATCTGAGTGTCATACTAAAGCTGCCAGTGATCGTCAGCCTTCCACGAGGGTGGTCGTTGGAGCTCGTAATAAAAATATATCGAATACGTTCCAGATGACCTCATATCCAGCGTACCGTCAACTATACACGCATCAGCTGCAAACAGCCCATCGACCTCCTCCCGCCTTGAATACACGATCCTCATTCAGTAGCCTCTCCAAAGCATCTTGCACGTCCCAACTACCAAGATTCGTCCACTGCGCATCCGACCTTTGCAAATACGAGGCCAACTCGTCTGCAGTTGGTGGTCTTTGTTTACGCGACGATGTGCGAGCGGTTTTGTCGATTCCAGTGAGGGTACGTAGTGCACGCATGACGATAGGCGATAGTGTTCGCGGTGTGATGGGTAGATAAGATTCTTCCTGGTCATCAGGATCTGATAGGTATCCAGCAAACTGCTCTTCTTGACTAGGGCCGCTAGATGTGACGCTGCTTACGGTGCTCGCGGTGGATGGTAGAGGCATAGACCCATTACTATTTTTCCATAATCCAGAATCATCTCCATCTGCGTCAGATGCATGCTCAATAGGCCGAGCGGGTCCATTCCAAATAACAATATTCCCAGCCTTGTGAAGTTCTCGTATCGTCTTCTGAAATAATCGTTTCATGTTTCTCGCAACTTGCTCCGGATCCGAGGCACCATTCGACTTGAACCGAGATGAAGTATTAGACGAATTACTTGCTTGCGTTTGCCGGCAATCCAGGCCTTTCTCCTTCTCGCGTTTCCTCTTCTCTCTCTCACGACGTTTTCCTTCAGCCCACACAACTGCCAATGCCATCTCAGCCAGAACAGGAACACGGCGGAGGTAGCCTAGCGTGAAACCATATTGAGTTTCTTCATCTTCCGCCTGATTAGTTGTCTGAAGGATTTTTCTGGGTTTGGGAGTTAAAAGTGGAGAATGACAACGCCGGTGTCGACTCTTCGGAGTTGGTGTCGCGCACGGGTCATTGAAATGAATCGGATCGTCTTCGTCCTCGTCGGAGGACGACACTCGCGAAGGGCGGCAAGGGGGTGCAAAGTCCATATAATGCTTAACATAGATACGGAACGTAACATCTGTAAGGTCTCGTGAGCGTAGTCGCGAAGGATGCCGCAAACGGGGCCGTTGAGGAGACTAAACATCCTCTTAGCATATCACAATCAACAAGGCAATAGTAGACAACTTACCGAAGTAGACGATCGACTGGATTCAGTCCCTACGGGCGAGGATACCGACGCAGGAGAAGACTGGGCCACGGGATCCTTCGATGAGGAGGCAACAGGATTAGCGTCAAGTTGTGGTTCTAACTTCGGTATGACAAAAGGATCGGGAAGGTAATAATGTTCGTGGCATAGTTTAAGGACTTCCAACCAGTGTCGAGGTTCGTCGTTCGCAGACTTACAAATAGCTTTAAAAAAAGTTATATCAGTAAAATCTGTTCCCTATATTGGAGTTGAAGCTGAAGTTCCACGTACAGAAGCCACCAGGCTCTAGCCGCAAATACCTCGAGCCTCGTCCATGGAATATACGTCCTTGAACAGTAACAATAGCGCCAACAGTTACTTTCGGTATTTTCAACGGAGCGGGTTGTTTAGTATGCTTCTTCGATGGTGGCTTTATATCCTTCGGTCGTTCATATTTCGACGATGGTTTCGAACGCCGGGATTCCGGCGTTGACGGTGGTTTCGCTGGTTTCGGTTGCTTCAAGTCGCAATCGATGACAGATGTACCATCATCCACTATAACATTATCAGAGCAGAATTCCAGAAATTAGAAGGCACGGACATACCCTTAAATCGTAACATATCATCAAATTCATCAACCCCTACAACCATACCCACAATCTTCACAGTTCGACAAGGCACGCGGCCCATCCAATAGAACTCCTCGTCTAAATACTCCCCTTAGTCAGATTTAAGCACAAGAAGAAGAAATAAGAACCTACTGTCGTTCCCCTCATGATCCATCTCGAACACATGCTTCACGCGTACAGGGGCTACCGCAGCTTGCGTAAATGTCCATTTATATAGTTCCGTCAACGAATGTGACGTCTTGCGTCGACACTCAAGGATAATATCATGCTTCGCCTGAGCCTTTTTGGATGACGGCGAACGTTCCGTGCATGATGTAAGGCTCGATTCAGGGCTGAGACGTTTACGTTTTTGAGGAGTCAGGAGGACGGTTGAAGTTGTGGCATTTTGAGCGTTATTATTCCGTGCAGAGACGTTATTCTTCGTCTGAGTACGAGACATTCTATTCAAGATCTATGCCCATTTCAGTTGATGAGTAGCATGAAGACGTAAATGATCATGGAGACGGAAGAAAGTTCGAAATCGCGAGTCATTCGCGACGCGTTTCAGGCACGTGATGGCCATGCGCATACTCAATAAGGAAATCAAATCAAGTTGCTTACACAACGGTGGATGAAATCATACAACGTAACCGGATGAAATTACAAAACGAGAGAAGAGTGGGTTATTCAGAGGCAATTATTTGAGATAAATGAGTAACCTTTCTTTTCTCTATTTTTGTCAAAGCAAAATGTAGCATTATTATTGTATATACTGAAAGAGTAGTAAAGTATTTTGTCTGCTTCTGTTAAGAATAATTTTTAGATTTAAAAGTATATTAATTCTGCTGTACACATCACCAAATCGAACACGAAAATGTATTGGAATTTACTGCTAAGACATATATTTTTTACATATTGTGGATCCTTATATTCGCTTATAAAGTCTACATGTAAATATATTGCCTTGTCAGACTCTGCACGTTTTGGTGATGCATGTTAAAGGTGTATATAAGATTAAAGTAGAGTTGGATGTTCCTGTCAGGATAACCTTATTGGTAGGCCTAGATTATGTGTGCTGGTAGTAAGGGTGATACTATGGAGAAGTAAGAGTGTTAAGGGCAACCAACAACAGTTGCCTATGTACGTCCTTGATTGGGTTGTTGTAGACTCATGATTAATGGTCTCTAGGTATAAGCGCTGTATACACGTATAGAAGTAGGACAAAATAGGATAGGAGATAAAAGCGGCTGGAAATTATGAACAGCTTAAAGTTGATTGACAATGCGTAATAGGTGTGATTGTGAATTGTGAAGTGAAGCCTCTATCCAAACTTATTGTGATCCCGAATGTGGGACAAAGATCTTTCTATAGGCCCAGCTACACTGGAAGCGTCAATCGAGTGATTGTCCTCGTGTACTTCATCAACACAAGATTGACGCAAGTAATTGTTTAGATCGGACGTTATTGGTGTCAAGCAGTATCGAGGCAAAGCCGTCATCGTCAATGTGATTGTCAAGGGGCGGCACACTCCGAAAATAACAATTGTAATTATACGTTTAGGCAAAGTCCAGGATTTTAGACTTCGTATGACGATCCACCACTTCAGCAAAGCGTCAGTCAGTCAGGTCAGGTCAACAGGTCATAGCGTCTGTCAGGTCTACACTATCGTTTCGTCACCCCATCCGGATACTGCGCACACTACATAATAATAACACAGACAGCTGCAATTAAAGAACCCAGAGATACCCGCAGTGCACAATCCGCGCAACATCCGCCCGCTCGCCAACTTGAAATCACCTCACTAAAAGCCTATCCGACGTGCACGGCAACACGAGCCAGGCAAACAAAGACACGAAGAGAATGAAGAGAGCAACGTCAGCCTCGTGTCAAGCACGCACCCTCTCACAATATATATATCTTCATCTTCAAATTATCACAACAGCACGAGAGAGAAGAAGGTAACTCGCGGGTCGCTTTCGGCTTCCGGGTATTATCGAAATAGCCTAAACTTAAACCTACCCCTATCCGTCCTGTCCTGTCTCTCTCTCTTGGGTTGGGTGGGACACTCAAGGAGATGCCGTATCGCCTCCGCGATTCCACAACCCAACTCTTTCCCTCACTTCATCACTTCTCCCTTCAGTCCTTTGCTTCGCTCGTAAAAATGGATGACGGAGAGGGTTGAGGACGTTTGAGGCTTCTGAAATTCTTCGGCAGAGGTCGTGATTGCAATGTGGTCCTTTCTTCCTTTATTTTTTTAACCCCTATCCATATATTTTCTTCGATTTCATGAGTTTTGATTTGACGTCCCTGCCTGCCTGGAGATCTGACGGAGACCAAGGCATCATAAGATAAGGACAACATAAGGATCCAAATTATGAATATATGATTATGGAGACTCTGGGATCTCAGGATCTGCATTCTCGCGGAAGTCATGGGGCACGCAGGAGTGTGAGAAAGAGAGGCAGACAGCAGGGTTTCAATTTGCAACGATTCAAACTCGGGTCCAAAAGCAAGAGGATTCGATATGGATATGGAGTGGCGCGTGCGGAATGAGTTACGAAGAGGAGAAGCTTAAGCTTAGAAATGAAGTGCGTGTGACCTTGCCTTCCTTTTGCATCTTCATACCCAGTCAACTGAATTGGTGAATATTATTGATATTGAGAATTGTTTCTTGTAACGCGGGTTCATTTGGATAAGGTACAAGAATGGATGACACAATAGATCTGGACTTCGGTCACGGTAAAACTGAATGACTCGGGGGCAGTGCTAGTCCGCAAGAGGTCCGGAGCACATCTGCGTCGAATCTATTTCCCAGATTACGTTTACGGTGCAAGATGCAGTTTCGTTTCGTCGCAAAGAGAGAGAAGGGGGTCAGACTAATTGCAGGACAACACCGATTCCGAGGAGGCGAGACTCGTACTGACAGGGCAGAAGGCAGACGTGCTGTGCGCATGCGCACCGCCAGTGATCGGTAGTACTGTCACTGTATATATGCCGCTGTGGGGTCGTGCCGCCGCGAGAGTCTGGACATGGATCCGGGAAGACGCCAAAAACTAGTTTGCCATGCGTTTTGCATGGATTCGATCAGTGTTTGTTGGCGTGACGCAGGGCCATGCTAGTCCGCCGGCTAAGACAGCTCGAGGTTTAGGCCAGCCTTGGGAATGTTTCTTGATGAAAGGTTCCAGCAACGAGGCTGATTTGCTCATGCTCATGTAATGAAGGCGGGACACTCGCTAAACGTTGATCATTGATGAAATTGTGCAAGTCAAAAAGTCTGGCTACACGCGTCTCGTGTGCGTCGTCAACAGGAATATCAGAGAAGCGAGAGAACAATGAAAATGTGCTTGTTCGAAGGCGAAGAGATGCTGGCATGCTGAGCAGTGGGGAGCTTCGAATGACGGCCGGCCGTGTGGACAAGGAAGGTCTCGAGCAGGCCTGGTTTGCGTCCCTTGATGGTCCGCGGCCGACCCGCTTCGCAAATTTATTTGTACTTTGCACTCACTCAACGGGAAGGGCACTGGGCCCACAGCGATCCCAAATGAGAGAATATTTGACTGGGAGGACTACAATGGGCAGACGAATTGTTGTGTGGGAGTGCGAAACGTGGAACGACGTGGAGAAGCGTCGTCGAGCGGAGAGGTCTTGCCTGGAGACGCGGAAGCGACAAACAAACACTAAACGGAATAAGGAAATGAATGGACCGATGTGACGTGACAGGCGGTGTCTGACTCAGCCAAACTACGCTTGGTTAGGGAGGGGTGGCGTGACAGCCTGGCCTGGTGATGGAGCGGAGTATGAATATAAGAGGAAGGAGGAATCTGAGTCCTCTCCTCTTTCGTCTTTGCTTCCCATCACCTCGTTCGTCCCCTTGCCCCCGCTCCTCGCAACGCTCATCCCTCGTCCCCACCGTCATGCTGCTCGTCCAGCAACCCCAGCATCCATCCTCAGTCTCCCTAATGCCGTATTCAAAGCAGTTCAACACTTCCGCCAGCCATAGACGCAACCCGTCCGCTCCAGCCGCAGTTGTCCAGGGCCAGGTGCAGCCAACCAAGACTCCTGGCCTCCTCTCACTCTCGAAGCCCTCTGCGACTCGCCAGCCTCGCCACCCAACACCGAGGCAGCCCAGGTCCAAGCCGCAGCACCCGCAACAGCTGCAAGGGGCCTCGCCGGAGCGGCATCGCGGGAGGAACAATTCGTCGAAAGATAAGTCGGCTAGGTGATTAGATTTCTTGTGTGCAAAGTTGTCTACAGAGTGCAGCGACTCAATCTGGATTCTTTTCCTCGATACAGACCCGTATCAAAACCCCGTGCTGGACATGGGGGACGTGCACGCCAACCGTCCCCTTCACCTATTCCCCAATCTGAGCAGTCATCCTCTGACGAGACCGTTGCTGTTCCACCTAATTCTACTTCTGTTATTGCTACTGGGCCAAAGCCCCAAGCTTCTACCGCGCAGACGACCGTCTTGAGCGCTCCTTCTGGCCGCCTTGCCAAGCGTCGCAACCGCGCTTCCATTCCCTTCCCGTCATCGGTTTCGACCCCGTCGGTGAATCCCAAGGCAGCGAAATCCAGCCAGAACCAACCGCCTCGTGCTAAACCCGTTCCCGTTCCCGTCAAGCCAAAGGTGAACAACTTGCCTATTTCACGTTCGGATCCCGTTTTGTCGCATTTCCCACAAGCCTCGCTTCGTAACAATGGGGCAGATGTCTTCCCGATCTGCGACGATAACGACGACGGTGATGACGAAGATGCTTTCGAGCGTCCGACCACGCCATCGCCGGCCGGTCGTAGGAATGGAGTTACCACATGGCAGCAGGATTCGCTGTTCAACTCGGATAGTGAGGAGGGTGGGCCGCGCACTGCGCCCATCAGCATGAAAGCAGGCGTGGCGAAGCATTATTTCCCATCGCCTGTCCCCTCACCATCTCGTCCCTACCACAAGCGTACGCCGAGCGTACCCGCAGACGGCATGTTCGATTTGTCGTTTGGTTCTGACAACGAGCTGAATGCATCGGAGATGAATGCACTGTTTGGACATGCATCTTCCAATCGCATGCACTACGATGGTTCTGTGCGGTCCACAAGCACGCCATTGAGAAAGCCTGATGCTGCTGCGACATTCAATAAATTCGCGAGCCCGATGTTCCAGAACAGCCCGCGCCCGGAGCAGCTCCGCCCGCCAACGTTCTCGCTGGCGAAGATGAAGAAGGCTCTCGTTGCTCAGTCTGACTGAGTCAGCGCTCGGCCAATCGGGTATGTCTCCGATTAATCCCGGATGACATAATGTACTTATTGCGTCATTTCTTTTTGGTTTCCTTTTAGGGTTCACTTCCACTCTCTTGCTTCATTCCGCGTCGACCGCGATGCAATTATTCTTTTCAAGATTAACTTATTGCTTTCGACGCTCGATTTTGCATCCCATTTGGACCCCCCTCCAACCTTTCTTTGGTATCTGATTATTACCGGCATTTATGGCTTTTCGCTTAGGACACCCGCTCGGCTTACTCTCCGCATCCCCGGCAATTGGTCCACCGCTGTGAACGCTTTGTGGGTGGTGCATATTCGCACTTGATTTGTTTCTTGGCCATTATCTGCAACATTAACAGCACTCACGACGTCACGTAACTGGCCCGCCATTTTGGGCCACGAGTCTCGCAAGTCTCAACTTCAAGTGCCTCGCATTTCCTCTTTTCTCGTTTTCTCTCAGCTTTATATCTCAATGTGCAATACCTCGCATTCTCGCATTGCTGTCATTTTCTTCAACCCAAGCCCCTCCATCCTCTTTCCTCGGCTCGCATCGTTTCGCATCAAGTATAACATATAACTACGACATAAAGACAAGACTCTCGATCACCGGCCTATTTCGCTATACCTTGCTTTCGATCGGTGTTCCGTGTATGAGTGATGGTGGGTTCAAAGGGAAGCCATTCTACTCGAACCGATATTTATGGTGCGAGGTGCGACCGCGCTGTCAACATTCTTTTGCCGGTACGCCTTGTGCCCCGCCTCGCAGGTCCCCCAATCTTAGACACCTCCGACATGGCCTCCCTTAACCGCCATCCTTCTTTTCCTTTTTTCCCCTTGACGGCATCCTCTTATATTCTATTTCTTTATCTTATTCGGTGGTATTCCGCGGTTTTTGCTGTATCAATCGGCGCCGGCTGCGCGTTGTACATCATTGTCAAGCATTCCGTTTACGTTCCTCTGTTATTTGGTTTCTTGCCTTCTCGTTTTTCTCCTTTCTCTCACTCCAAACCAAATATTCAACCCCGATTAAAAAGCGTTAGCCTTTTAATGGTTTTTTGGTGCTTAGTGCTCCTTCCTCGATTGCGCCATTCTGACAATGTATTCTATCCTACCCTCCTGTGCTGCTCGCGTCAACTCCACGCATCTAAATGTCGTGAATTTGCACGCAGCTTTTTCCAACCCCGTTTACCCCCATTACTCGACCTCTCGTTCAACTGTCCTCTATTGTCTTCACGAACCTTTTTTTTGTGTTTCCGTTTACTTAGAAGCAAAATCTGTGCATTAGTCGGAGCATTCATTTTCTATCTCTTCATCCATCCACTTCCATGGCCCTACCCCTCACTTTCGCGGTCTAATTCTTTGACCGTGGTACACAATACCTCCCCGTTGTATCTTATTTTCGGAGTAGTCCTCTTCTGGAGGTGGAGAAGAGGTGTTATTGTGCGTTTCTGCGTCATCGATTCGTTTCTTGCTGACTTATGTGTAATTTTCCTTCATTAGGTTTCTCCGCCTCGCGATGTTGATGTGTCGGTCAAGTTCTTTGAAACGTCACCGCGACGTGGTCTTCGTCAACCTTACTATGTCCGCATGCGTTTGCCGTCATCGTCACTCGCGCTATTGCATCGATCGCAACATATCAAATTAATAATCTATCTATTCACCACATTCCTTCACCCGATCCGAATTACCCTGTCCTCTCCTTACGTTCCGTTCCTAACCATACGGGTTTGCCTGTTCTCGAGACTTGTTTCGGAAAGGTCGCATTTGGCACTCGTATATCCTGTTATCCGTCCCGCGTATCCTGTCATATTGAGCCGACTCGCGTTCTCGGTCCCCTCGACATCTACTCAAAGCACCCTTATTCACTCCCTGTCGCATCGCATAATACGCATCAGCATCAGCGTTATCCTCATCATCACATCACATCCATCACATCACGCGTCACACGTTCTTATCCTCTCGCCCACTTTTCTCAACACCTCCATCCAACGCCATGGTTCTAGATTTTTTTCTTTTTTCCAAGAAAAGGGGCGTTAGTTTTATTTTTCCAAGTCAAGTAGTAAAACCGAGAACGGGTGGATGGAGGAGGATGTTCGTGTGTGTTCGTGGTTTTTTTCGATCGACGATGACGGTGTGCGTGCATATCCCTGTTCTCGGACAAAGTCAAGTAGTACGTTAGTTAAAGTGATTTGTGTATTGTTAGTATGTTTGTTTGGGGACGTGAATTGCAGTAGTTGGTGTTTGTTAAATTTGTGTGAATTTGTCTGGTTGGTACTCGGAGGTGTTTGAATTCATCTTAAGGGCCCGAAAGCAGAGATGTATGTGCACGACTCACGTGCCTGCCTAAAAGGCGGGATCTCACATCCTGGACGACGCCGTCGTTAACCGTACTCGCCATCGTCAGCGATGCCCAGCTCTTCTCCCGACTCAGCCGCAGACACGTCTCCTGCAGCAGAACATACGCGCAGGAGAGCATACAAGGCTTGTCTTCACTGCGTACGTCTTTCATGCACGCCCAGTATCGTCCCCTTATCAATCTCCATCCATCACAGCGTTCACGGAAAGGTACCTGCATGCTCTGCCATCCCTTTGTTACCATTGCCTTGAATAACCGTGTTTGCTAGCGAAATGTGACTTGGGAGACATCGCGTGCCCTGGACAGCCTCCGTGCGCGCGGTGTAGGCGCGAGAGACGGGAATGTATCTTTGCGCCGTCCTACAGAGGCGGACGAATCGTCAGAAAGTCGAACGCTGACACAGATAGGAATGCGGACGCTCGAGGACCTGTACAAAGTACGTATATGCTCCCCTCTATTATATTTTGATTAGTTGGATGGCGGACTGCTCTCTCTGGCTTGTACTTGTACGCGGCATGTCTTTAACGCCGCGCACAAGCGCATTGAGCCTCCATTCTGAAGGTCAACAGCAGTGGAGGCTGCTTTGTGTAAACACTATACTCATGATGTGATCCGGGGGATTCGCACCGGAAAACTTCCCCTCTCATTCCGATTGCTCAATAATATCCATGAATGCTGAAAGCTAACATTTATCCCTTTATTCAGAACACGAAAATAATTCAGTCACGTTCTCAACATCAGACATCGACATCGATGCAGAGATCGAGCAGGATGTCAATGCTCGATCTGACTCCGAAGGTCCACCTCGTAAAGCAATGAGACTCGACTCCTCTGCCTCCGGATCCGAGAACGCAGGCGACAGGGATCGCGTCGATCCACAAAGCCTTGCAGCCGCATCACTTCGCAATCCTACCGATGCACTTAATTTACTGGCTCTTGCGGCAGACGTCGACCGAAAGAATAAGTCAAAACGTCGCGCTAGCATCAGTGAACCAGTCTCTGCAGAGTCGCCCACACACGGACACGATGGTACATCCGAAGCTGACCATACTCGGGGCTCCGGGCTGAAATCCGAAGATGGTTCCATTTCATGCGGTGCCCATTCCCACCAACACAGTCATGCACATCGCGCACCAACGCCACCATCGCTCTCCACATATGCACTCGTGCGGGATCGCGTCCTCACTCCGAGTACCCTTAATACTCTCGTCTCGCATTACTTCTCAAATGCACATGCCGTCTTTCCGATGGTCCCACATCACCATATTCCGCGCTGTTTCACCGAGCTAGCACGTTTCGCTGCAGATGAAGCGCCTCTCCTTACTGCGATAGTTGTTATCGCATCACGCCAAGAGAAAATGTTTGATGTACATTCGAGGAGTTGGGAGTACATGCAAACCCTTATCAACGAACTTATTCTTGGGAAATATGCATCTGTTGGTGCCGTGGAGGCGCTGCTCCTCTTATCAGGTACGCACATCTAAAATTAGACATACTGAAGCTAAAATAGTTCACAGAAAATCTGCCTCGGCGAACTGAGGCCGCGACTGAAGACGATGAGCACCGAATGGCATGGATGCTTGTCGGAATGGCCGTGCGAATAGGGTATATGCGCGATATTTTGTCACTTTGACCCATTGACTGAACTTGCCTTCGTAGGTATATGCTCGGATTAGATCAGAAGACACTCCGACCGCTATCTCCTGGAGTTGAAGATAATGGCGAGAAGGATAACGATTCAGGTGCTCGGAGCGAAAACGAAAAACTTGACAGAGATCGATTGGCATGGACTTGTACGTGAATACTTGTCCTTTTTAAAGTTCCACAATATTAAACGCCAATCATTCAGATTGTTATATCTTCGATAGAAGGTACGGGGCATTCTTTCAGTATAAAAGTGGTTGATTCTGATGTTCTTCAATTTAGTATTTCAATTCGCTCGGGAAAGGCGTTCTGGAGCAGAGGTAAATCACCATCCCTTTCATTTACGATTTAATACTGACGATCGCTCATTGTGCAGGCCCGGGTCTGTGCTTTCAACGCACACATAGCGGAGCCGTACCCTCTGCGTCAGAAACCTTCCCATCTCTACGTGAAATCGCTGGCCTTCAGGACGACTTCTCCGCCATGCTCCAAGCGTACGTGATGCTTATATGCTACATTACTTCTTGATTAGAAAGCTGATGTATTTTGTGCTGATGTGTAGGTACACGGAACTAACCCAGACGATGGCTTCCGCGCATGATGTGTTATATCCATCGAAAGATAGGACGATAGCGCTCGTGCGCGTCGGAGATTACCACAAGTAAGGAACAATTCTTCATCTATGAGTTAACTATGCTGACATGTTGTGATACAGATACCTCGACGAGCTAACACGAAGTGCGTAGTTTACCCGACCGATCAAATTCCTTACTGACATGGTTCGGCCTTTCCTTGATCTAGGTATTGTGAGTTGGCTTTGACATTATCAAGGGAATCATTCATACCCACTGATTTGATAAGAATGGCTTCCGCCTGAACTGGGAAGGGAAGAAGTGGGAGACAGCTATCGTGCACGAATGCGTTTGGTTGTCTTTCGTAAGTCCTATTACCTTACCATGTAACATCCTCGCGTTACTAACATTTCTCCTTAGCATTACACACGGCTATACATCTACGCTTTCGCCTTCCAAGCTCACGTCCAAAGAAACACGTCAACAACAGAAGACGGCAAGAAAGTTGCGGATAGTATCATATTCCCGCGTGGTCCGATGGGTAGTCCGGATGCTCGATTTATCCTTGAGGCTATTGATGCTGCGGTATGTCCCTCTTTTCAGGTCAGGTACTTTGATGAAGTGAAAATTCTGACGTTGATCAAGACGGAATTACTGCATATATGTGTGGAGAGACTGCATCCAAGCGGTGTGATGACTTATTTACCTTGGAGATTTTTCTTGTATTTTCAGTAAGTGATTCATTGACTTGCGGTTTCATCTATTTTTTAAACTTCACCTGTACCGATTAGATATGCGGGCGTTTTTCTCCTGAAGGTATGTTTCGAAATGTAGTTGCAAGAGCAATGTTCTGATCACTTCTTTACAAGGCCGTGTTCGTCGGCGCCGTCGTTCCGCAGGACCAACGAGCAATCGTGCAACTAGTCAAAAAAGTGATTGTCTGTCTCGCTTGTGCGAGCTCAGACGATCAGCACTCAGGCGTGCGTTACGCGCGTCTACTGAATGGTCTTCTAAAAGTATTCAGTCGTGGAGTCGACGGAGTCGCGTCTCAAGTTGGTACACCGAAAAGAAGAACAATAGGCCTTCCTTCGAGCACGTCGTCGTCAGCAAGTCCACGCAAAGATAATGATACGCCTCCAAAAATGGGTTTCAACGTGGCGCAGGCAAAAGACATGGAGTTAGATCCCGCAGCGCCTATGGCGAACCCTACTACACCCATCATCGCAACTCCTTCACTCACTTCGGGTCATCTCGTGAAATCCGTTAACTCATCGATGTCTCATGATGTCCCCCTTCATCACGTACACAGTCCAGCAACCGAAGCTGTCCTCGCACACTTGCCTATGCCTCGATTAGACGCCAGTGTGGGCAAGTTTGCTGACAGAGGCAATACCTCCTCTCACGCTATGCATGCTGGACAATCATTACACCAACCAATTGCGACGGATGCACTCTTCGGAAGTAGCCAAATGAACGCAACAAGCTCTACTTCACGATATACGAGCAGTCTTACCTCACCGCCGTACCATCGCGGACCCACACATTTGCACCATAGACAACACTCCCGTTCACAAGCGCAGCTCTACCCACCATCCCACCCTTCCTCACGAGCTGTCAGCACAAACGGGTATACAAACGGCGTGAATGTCGACGTCGCAAACTCCGGTCCGGGTCCCACAGGTCACACTCCCACCCCAAATCCCGGTCCGACACCCGGTCCATCGGCAGGTCCAGCTCCCGCATCAGCATTCGACATATATCAAATGAGCCCCTCAACAGGCGCGAACCTCAACCTCTCGCAATTCGATCTGAACTGGCCACCGACGGAGGTAGACGGCCTAGCTCAGATGTTAGCAGATGACCATGCATTGGACGGGGATTTTTGGATGTCGTTGCCTAGTCATGTTCACTGGCAGGCTTGGCCGCAGAGTGGAACGGGTGGTGGCGGGAGTGGGACGCCTGCACCGCCTGCGTCTTTGATGAGCTGACCCGAGTGAACTTCTTGTTTGATTGGTCGGTTTGTATGTATGTACATGGTTTTCTGGTTATTCGGATTTCTTGGGTAAAAGGGATTTTGCGAATGGAACTGTTGGTTGGTAAAGGAATTTGTATTTCTGGCTGTGTACTTCGCATAGACGTTGGATTTTCCGTTTCGCTATTGTTGTTGTATGCATCCGTTGTTTGTATGTGTACTTTGCTCTGCTTTGCTTATTTTTCGTGTTTTCCGAGTCGTTTGGTTCTGGAGTAATATTGCGAACAGTACTAGTGCTCTGATATAGACTTCATTTTCGACTACAATGAATCTAAAGAGAGTTTGGCTCTGCGAAATGCATTAGTACAATAAATATTGGCCTTAAGTGCCAATTGCAATTGTAATAAAGCTACTTAGGATTTACAGTTCTCATACTCAGGAGAGTATGTGAAGGGTCTTGACTCCTCCCACTATATGTCTGCTTAAAACCATCATGTGTGTTGACCAGGACAACTAATAGTTGATTACACTTAGAAATGTCATTCAAGGTATCTGTCAGGTTGCTTGGATCATTATAGTTTCAAAATAATTTGCAAAGCACCTTAGTCACCTTTCTGCTCAATGCTTGCTGCATGACAAGTATTGTTAGATAAGACACTTCGAGAGCTTTGCAAGACGGATGATTGATCAAAGGTCTTGGTTATTGGACCCAGGCAGGTAAAGTCGGAACGTTTCTCACGCTGCCTACTTGGAAAGTGTTTAGGTCGTTTCATTTCGAACTTGCCTCAAACGCCATGACTCCATCCATTCTTCTGGCCCTAGCATGTATGAATCACCATAATCCAGTATTTTCTTCTGGCTTAAACTAGCTGACGTAAAACAAAGAGCTGTGTATGCTAGCTATAACTAGTCCTGCGCATGATGTCGGTGGTGCAGTCCTGGTGTGGCATTTGCTGTGACTCGGATATTGTGGCCTGCTCATTAATGACACTGCAAGCCCTCAGTCAAAAGGTGGCTTCTAGTTCTGTTCTTTCTGCTCTCACGAGGCGTTTCGTAGGTCACCTCTTCTCCTGTCTCATACCTCCCTTCGGACTGCTGCTACTTTCTTCATCATCCGTATTATGGCGAACTTCTTAGGACTCCCTCAAGATGTGCTTCTCAAAGTTTTGTGTTATCTGGGTGTAGATGACATTTTGCGTATGGAGAGGGTGAGCTGCAAATTGTCTTCACCAATGCGATAAATTATTTATCGTCTTTCTAACCAGACATGCAAATACATGCGCGAAACCACGGCGATGCATTGTGTCTGGCTCACTAAATCAAATTGCCTTGAATCTGCTTCTGCACCAGACCTGCCCAGGTACCTTTATCCAGACGTTATACCTTGCGATCAGCTGCGCACAATTGCCATAAAGGCGGAACGCGCTTACTGGGAATTGACCCGATGTCCATCCCCGGTGATTGCATACAAATCTATTTGGTCGGTCAGCCGATCCTACCTGAGCATGTTCGAAAGGGAATCGATATACAAAATCCGCTCCGTCAAGGCTGCCCCAGGAGGCCGGTATCTTCTTGTGCTCTACGCTGGATGCATATTTGAGGAACTGCAGCTACTTGACCTTGAATACGAGGGCAATTGTGTTTGGTCATTCAAGTCTATGACTGAAGCCAAAAAGCTCAGAAGCGAAGTAAACGTCGCATGCTGCAAGCTCGAAGTCTTTTATGATTTTGATGTTCAGCGAGATGGCACCATAGCTGTGGTTTTTGGTCTGGACATGTTTGTAACGGATAATCAGATGGTGTCCGAGTGGCGCAGGTATGTGGTAATTGCTAAAGTGAGAACGACACTAAACTTGTGGCTTCTCTTAGTGTCCTGGAATGTGTTCGGCTTACCAAAACCGACGTGCTTAGTAGTGCACTGGAAGAGACATGCATGGTGTCACTTGCAGAACCAGGTATACACAAACCATTGAAAGAATTGGCGCGGTCGATTTGCGCAATATCGGGAAAGTTTGCGGTCTGGCGAACGATTAATGATATGCTTTTCATCGTACATTGGGAATCTAATCGGGCGGTAAGGATCCATTTTAATGTGAGTGACTTACAATGCTACTTAAGGTTAATGGCTGGAAAACGTTGTCTAACAGTTTACGCAACAGACCCTTCCTCATGTTGAGATTTGGCGAGATTACTTAATTTGCCAGCAACGTTCGAGGGTTTGCGCAATGTCGCTAACAGAAGCTATATCTCTAGCAGCACCGTCTTCTGTGGTGACTATCGATCCCAGTGCACTATAATGCAGCTTCATGAACCTGGAATCTTCGAACGGCCACGGAACGAGCAATTTGCAATTTTCAGTCAGTGATCTTTTCTTTGGAGCAGAGCCTAGAATTGCCGTGCTCTCCATTATCACCAAGGCGAGATATTCCCGAGCCCGAGGAGTTCCGTTCACAGCATTGAGAGCTATCTTCGACCCCAGCCAGCCCAGATCCTCCAGATGGCGTTTGATTAGCGAAAACCGGTCCGTGCCGTGCCCCACTAAAGCTGGGTTTCCATGGTCTCGTATCCAGGTGGCATCGAACTCATCTCGGTCAGGGCGACTCTTGGTCAAGGCGGGAAACACCGGCAAGATACGATATGGCTTGATTGCTATTGACAAGCAAGGGAATCTTGTGTTTGCGGAGCTGTCAAACGCAATGAACCTTGCCACGGGCTCCGAGTTTTTTCACAACAATTGCGTTTATCCTTATAGAAGGGATATGTTGTTGGACTATATGGAGCCTTACAGTGGAATGCTGGTGGCATTGACTAACAGAGGATCAGAGAGTGAGACGATCGAGCTTTTCTATCCTGAGACATTCATAGCAGGTCAATGTGTTGGTTGAATGCAGAAATGCGCATGTCTTGGCAAGAGCTAGATGATAGATTATTAAAATTAAATATGTTCGGTAGAGATAACTGACTAAGAATATTGATTGTGCAGTGCAAGAAATGGAGTGAGCCAGTTCATGCCACGTGCAGTTTTAGCAAAAGCACTGGTCAGATTACTTGTACAGGTGTGTAGCAAAAGTGTTCGTCATTCCTCAAAAGGTAAGTGTATTTGTAAGTGATTTTCATTGACTTATAAGGCTGTCAGAGACACATCAAATCTTTGTCTTACATTTCTAACATACATGAACACATTATACACACAAAAAACATGAAAAATACAAGCTATTTTTTGAAAATAATGCAAAATTCTGTATTTTTTTGTACTTCACAATGTGTAGATCAAGGCTTTGATCTACATCTTATTTCTATGTATGGTATGCAAATCACTTACAAATACACCTACCTTTTAAGGAATGATGAACACTTTTGCTACATACCTGTAGTTGTGCATTAAAAAAACATAATGAAAGTAACATCAAAAAATTGCAATATTTGAAATATTTCCTTGGTCGTAACCGAGGGGAACGTTTCTCACGTTGCCATACTTGGGAATTACTCTGGAGTCTGTATTATGTAATCTCTGTTCATTTCGTATTGAGTCGCACGACTTCCACCTGTCTTCTAGCTTATACGGATCACCACGATTCAGTACTTTCTTACCTTAACTGGTTGATGTGAAACGAAAAGCCGTGCATATTGACTGTAGTTTGTCCTACACATTTCAACAAAGGCCATGCTGATGTGACAGACGCCATGACTCGGATAACGTGGGTCGCTCTTTATTGATACCGCAAGCGCTCAGTCAAAAGGCTAGCTTCCATTGCTGCTTTTTCTGCCCGCACATGGCGTAAGGAAGACTGCTTCCTCTGGCTCAAGTCGTCCTGCGGACTATCGCTATTTTTCTCACCATTCGCCGTGTCATGGTGAATCTCTTAGATCTCCCTCAAGACGTACTCCTCAAGGTTCTGTGTTATCTGGATGTGGATGATATTTTGCGCGTAGAGAGGGTACGCCGTAAATCGCCTGCATGTGTGCGTCAGTATACTTATCGTTTTACTTGGCCAGATCTGCAAATACATGCGTGAAACCACGGCGATGCATCAGCTCTGGCTAACCAAGTTGAATAACCTTGAATCAACTTCTGTACCGGACCTGCCCAGGTACCGTTACCCGAATATTATGCCTTAAGGTCAGCTGCGTGCGGTTGTCATACAAGCGGAACGGGCTTACCGAGAGTTGACCCGATGTCCTTCTCCGATGATTGCATACAAGCTCATTCGGTCGGTCATCCCGTCGCGCCCGAATGTACCCGCAGAAGACCCGCAGTGCCGTATCCACACTGTCAAAGTTGCTCCAGGAGGCCGGTATCTTCTCGTGTACTTCATTGGATGCCTATTTCAAGAGCTGCGACTACTTGATCTTGATAATGAGGACAATTGTGTTTGGTCATTTAATACTCAAGCTGAGCACAGAAAGCTCAAAAGTGATCCAACCATCAACTATTTTGAGACCGAAGTCTTTTTCGACTTTGATGTTCAACAAGACGGTAGCATAGCTGTGGTTTTCGGCATGGACACGTTTATATCTAATAATCTTGAAGTGGAATCTGAACAGCGCAGGTAAGCGGTGCTTACTGAAATGAGGGCGATTCTCAACTCTTGACTTCTATAGTTCCCTGAAAGTTGTTCGACTCGCCGCAAATGATGCGACAAGCAGTGGTATGGTGGAGACATGCATGGTGTCACTTGCTGGACGAAGTTTGCACGATCAAGCAAAAGATTGGGTGCGGTCGAGCTGTGCAATATCGGGAAAATTTGCAGTTTGGCGGACGGTCGATGATCTACTTTTCATTGTGCATTGGAAATCTAATCAGGCGGTATAATTCCGGTTTAAAGTGAGTGACTTACAATGCCGCTTAAAATTGATATACAGGAAACGTTGTCTGATAAAGATTACTTAATAGATCAATCCTGATATTGTAATCTGGCAAGACCACTTGATTTGCTCCCAAGAATCAAGGGTTTGTGGTCTGTCGCTTACAGAAGCGATATCTTTAGCAGCACCATCTTCTGTGGTAACCATAGATCCCAACGCATTGGAGATCAGTTTCATTGGGCTACAAGCGGACAACAATGACGGATCGAGCTTTACGAAGTGAACAGCAAAATTTTCGGTCAGTGATCTTTTCTTTGGAGCTGATCCTAGAGTCGCAATGCTCTCCGTTATCGTCAGGACAAATTATTCCACTGGAGCTCACTTCATGGCAATGAGAGCTATCTTCGATCCTGGTCGACCTGTACCCTCCAGATGGTCTCTAATCAGTAAGACGTCGTCCATTCCATATCTTTCTGCGCATGATTTTTCGTGGACATCCTTCCAAGTAGGATCGAATCTGTCTCGATCGGGACGACTCCTGGTCACGACGGGAAAGTTGGGGAAGGTAGAATACGGCTTGATTGCTATTGATAAACAAGGAAATCTCGTATTTGCAGGCCTGTCTAAGGTCATCAACGCCAAATCAAGCTGTGAATTTTTTCACAGGAATAATGTTTCCCGTGATACTGCAGATATGCTGTTGGATTATATGGAGCCATACAGTAGAATGTTGGTAGTGATAACTAACAGAGGATCAGGAAGCGAGAAGATCGAGCTGTACTATCCTGAGGCATTCATGGTTAGTCCGCATGTCGTTTGAAAGAGTACAATGTTACTGTAATGTATGGCTCTCAATACATAATCCAAGCAGAACTTCTGATAAAATTGGCCGACAGCAAACAGTTACTCTGTATTTTTGCATATCATCTCCTTTATGGACGCCTCTTCTTCTGAATGCGACGGTACTTGAACTACATAATCAAGTTTATTACAACCCAGCAATCACGGCAGTACAGACTCTATCAGAACCACGGTATACAGTGATCAATCCATACAGCATTAATGTTTACCGTCCCATCCAACCCCCATCCACGACCAGCGTTTCTCCGCAGATGTAATCTGACGCACGACTTGCAAGGAAGAGGATTGCACCTTCAAAGTCTTCAGGTGTACCCCATCGACCTGCCGGAATACGTTCAAGAATTTGCCGTGCGCGTGTTGGATTCGCTATTAATGCGGTATTCATCTGGTGTTAAATAGTGAGTCTAATTGGCGAGCAAATGTTTAGAGTGGAATGCGCACTTCAGTGTCGATGTAGCCAGGTGCAATGCTAGAGACCGAGTTTAAAAATCCGGGTATAAAAATAGTGAAGAATCGTCGCGAGTTTACCAATTAACGTTAATCCCTTTTGAGCTCCATTCATTCGAGAAAGCCTTTGTCTATGCAGAAACTTAGAGCTCAGTATCCTTCTCGGAATCCGATGAAATCTATTACAATTCCGAGCACACCGTGCTTCGCGGCTGCGTAGGCAGAGACAGTGAATCCTCCTGGTACAATTGAAATGTCAGTTCCAGAATAACATGCCTACTGAAGATCCTACCTTGGAAAGATAATAAACTCGCAATGTTAACAATCTTTCCGCGTGGCAAGGGCGAGGCACCATCTGAAATGCTTTCGCGTCGTTCTAGCATATGACGACCGACATCTCGGCAAAGCATCCAGACAGTATTGAGATTTACTTGTAGTACCTATATTTAGGCGCAGGAAATTAGTTTGAAAGAGATCTGGTTTTTCAACAATGTCATACCTCTTCCCAATCATCATTGGGAAACAAATGTGAAGGATGCCTGAGGAACATTAATTAGTCACAATAAAGGCGTAAATTCGTAAATGTGTGTGCCTTCGCTGGATGCCACCACAATTAATAAAAATGTCGATGTTCAGGCTTAGTCCACCTTCTGTCTCAGGTGAGGTAATCTGTTTAACAACACCTCCCACTTCTTCCTTTGAAGATAAATCACACGTTATTATCCAGGCTTTTCTACCTGCATCGCGGATTTTTATTGCAGTTTCTTGATTAGTCTCATTTCTCTGTATAAAACGAAATTTTCATTAGAGGGTATCTAGTTCATGGATAGAATCCTCGATTTACTTGAATAAGCACTATATCTGCTCCAGCTTTTGCCAGTGCAACCGCGAGCGATTGGCCAATTCCTCGTGTTCCACCTCTAAGGTAAAAACAGTAGTGAGATATACATTAGATCGTCATCAAGCCCAGATCTCGTATGATCGACAGCATAAGCTCACGTTAGTGCAGCAACTCTTCCTTCAAGTGAGAAAAGCTCGTCCAGAAATGACTTTTTCGGCATGAAAGTGGCAACCCGGTTTTAACGAGGGATTTAAAAGTTTTGAGAGCGAGGTGGAGAAAATGCAAGACGAACGGTAGTTAACATGGTGGGTTGTGTTTAAGAGCGGTCTGGTCCACTTCGCGGACAGTCTCGGACCGTCTGACCGGAGGGTCGCACCGAGAAACAAATTTCCGTCTATAACCGATTCTATGAATGTTAATACCAAGAGTTTACATTGCGTGCCAGGCTGGAACTTCGAGCATTCAGCGCAAGATATCTTCTTTCATTCCGCAAAGAAATATAATATATTCCCCTCAAAACTGGAACAGAAGGACTCTCGTTCAACCCGTAAAAATAAACACTCTGAGCAGATGCCTCCAACCTTATCGTCACTGATGCTCCAAGCCAAAGGCTCGACCCCATGGTCTCAGTTACCAGTCCAACTAGAAGTAGAAGATCGTTGAACATTGGAGTTACAAAACAAGAGAAGATCAGTAGCTTACACAGCCGGACCGGGAATTGGGTAAGGCGCGTCCGGGTCTACATCCGCAAGGAGCACAGTTAGTAGAGTCCTATGTTGATTTCATTCGTGTGCTTACTATCGTAGACGTCAAAGACGATCCCGGGGGTCTCTGGAGTGTATGCACCAGGGAAAGCCACCAGGTAAGATGAGGAAGGAGACGCTGTACCAGATCCGGTGACCTCGAATTGGATACATGATGGATAGAACTGGGCACCACTAAGTTTCAATCCCGTGAGTTACATGCTCAGATCCATGCATTCGAGAAGATCAGAAACTCACGGATAGGCGAAAGCTCTGCATAGTTCGAAGTATGAGAACGGCTGTCTAATCACTAGAGGCGGAAAGAAATTGGACATACCCATGCAAGGCTATGATCTCATGACGAACAATGTACTGGCCAGGCTTGAGCGATGCGGGAACGGTGAACGTATAGATACTATCATTGGCGGATAGAATATCCGTTGCAGCCCACTTTTCATCAGCGGTCTTTCCCGCTTCTGCAACCTTGAACCATACGGCGCTAATATATGGAATTAACGACTGCAAACCCATAACGCTGGTAGAAGCTCACGCAGTTCCCGGAAGCCACTCGGTAATGTCGGTTCCCGAAGGAACTGCGGCCATATACGTGATCATCGGTCCCTATACCGCTACATGAACCCGCACCACAGAAATGTTAGTTTAACTTTTCGGCTCACCACATGAGAATCTGGCCATGCAGTCCAATTCAATGCAACAGAAGTACCTGCCTCCACCGTTCCGTAAATCGGAGCGGGTACCGTGCCAACCATACCGTCTGCAGAGTCGCCATTGCATTGAAGGCTAAAACGTATTTGAGCTTCTAAGATAGCTTTTGCAAATTAAACCAGCGTACTCTATCAAAGTCACATCCGTCACTGGTCCTGTTTGGGATATGAGATAATAGAATTAGTCTCAGCAACAGCAGCTCATATCTTCATAATAATTCTGACCATTACTGGGTATCTTTCGAATAATCCGCTCCGGGGCAGGGTTCATGTAAGGATCTTGGTAGGGCAAGTATCCAGTGTAGGTGGTCCCGTCGGCAACGACTTCTTGCACGTATCCATGCGCGTGCACGGAAGTAAAAGCAGACGAAGCCGCTGCGAGAACCAAAAACAAGCTTGTAGCTTTATGCATTGTCTACCCGCAAGTGATATGATAGATAGAGGATGAGCAAGTCGCTATCTCGAATCTATCTAGTCTATACCCTTTTATGCATTGCAGAATCCTTTACTGCCTAACAAGCATCCCCATGTCCTTGACGTAGGGCGCGGCCCGTACTCTTGAAGAACTTCGCTTGAATCGTGGTTAATAACAGCTTCCCCGCATGCCCCTATGCCATAGATTAAACCAATTTGTCCGTGGTTTCGTCTATAAAGTACCAGAACATGCGAGGAGAATCCGAATGTCTTGAAACTAGTGCATAGTGGGCGAGAAAAATAAGAGAAAAAAAAGCTTTTTTAATAGAAAAAGTGCTCACCTGTACTGACGTTCTGGTCTCAGCTAGAGCAGGTAGATTGCTTCGACCTTGTCCTTTTGTTCTGAGCACAGGAAACCTTTGCAGGACAGAAAGGAATGATACGAGATAAAACAAACACGAGGTCGAGCTAGGCCACGTCACGCAGGTGAGAGATGATGCGTTTGGTGACAACTTGAATTATATAGAACGGGCCGGTGATTCCACTTCAGTTCACCATACTCGGACCTGAAGATCACCGAGATAATGAAGAGAACTAATAGAAGAGACCCGAGAACGCAGGTAAGTTGCCATAATCATTGAAAATTTCGGAATGTGAGCCGCAATAGGTTCGAGATTTTAGCGTAACTTTATATATTGAAGAAGAGTCTTGCAATATTTGGATAATGCAATGCTTCAGGGGTGCAGCGTGGACATGGGAGGGATAAAGCTTCGGTCAACGAGAGGTATTTTTGCACCAGTACACGTGATTAGAGACCTTCCTATTATAGAACAATTTGCATACTGTAGTGGTCTGTACTAGTATATAGGTGACATGGATTTGACCGTTACATGTTAGAAAGGCCATGTCTAAAGTGACGGCCTCAAAGCTACACATTACTGTCACCTAAATGGTGATAGTTTACAGTGGCCAAAAAATGTAGACTAGCATTTATAGTTGCTGATGTCCGGTCCCGGACCGCTCGGACTCGGTCCGGACGCAGGACTGGACTGATGGACTGGTCCTCTGCAGTCTGGTCCTCATGGGTCCAGGAGAGGTCCAGTCCTGGGTCCATCATTTTGAGAAATTTCCCGGACTGATGGACTCGTCCAGACCCGGACTGGACTCCAGACCTGAATAACCTGAACTAATGTCTCAAATCTTGTTTCCCATATCTCTAGCTCACTATACTAAAACAGATCATACAGTCATTAACTGTTCCTTTGAACACCAACTTTAAATTTGATTGTATTTTACTCTACACAAAAAATTAGGAAAAATTAAGCTGTAATTAGGAATTAAATGGCAATAAGAGCATGCCTGAATTTTTTCAGGCCATTAGGATTTGTAGAAAAATTAAAATGAATGTAGTAAAAATGAGAGGATTTGTCACAAAAACCGCTCCTTTGAACACCCTGTGACACAGTGTCACGCTGGCACGCATTCATCCTCCTCACCCCTATGCTCTCAACTCGTGCTCCTATGTTCACTCTCGGCACGCTCCTCTTACTTTATTTTGTACATGCAATTGTTCTATGACTTTATCCACAGCTCTAGGTGCACTTCCAGCCTTGTTCATCACACCTACACAGGTCTGGGTTGCATTCACCTCATCCAGACACTACTTCTTTGTATGTAGTACTGTCCATGCCCCTCTCTCATAGTAGACACTCCTGGACTTGTTTCTTTGTTGGTCTAGATGGTCTAGGGCTCTAGTAAACCTTTGGAAGCTCCTCTTCCTTCTACATGGTGCATTTATCTTGTCATTTGGTAAGGTCTTTGTCATAGTGTGTCTTGATTTGTTTCCATTCACTTTTGATTGTATCATTGACATCCTTCTTCCTTTTAGCCTCCTCCTTTCATGTATGGGCCTCCTTCTCCTCTCTATCCTTCAACTCCTTCCTCTGCCTGAGCTTTTCCCTGGTCTCATCTGAGGTTATGATTTTTGACATTCTATCTAAACTCTAAAATAGACTTTTTTCCAGCCACCCTATTTCTTAATGTACCTATTGTTACTCCTTCAAACATGTTAGTGATTTTTCAGAGCCCTTAACACTTGTCTAGTAGCTGTTCTAGCTTGGCCTGATACATTTCCATAGCAGCAACAATATTTTTTTCTTTTTTTCTTTTCCTTCTCTTCTTTGTAGCAATTTAGATTTAGCAGACTTTGTCATGGATGTAGAGTTGTTAGAGAATGAGGAAACAAGAGGAAAAAATGTGTATTTAGCAAGCATAACAGACTATAGCTTTACCAATGTGTCATTACAGTTGTTTTCATAAATATAGTTGCACATGAAAATCACATGATTTTTGTCACAACAAGTACCAAAACACAAAAAAACTCATATCTCAGCCAAAACTCAACGAAAATGTGTGGAATAAGTTGCTAAATTCATTATTTTAGAATACCTTTCATATACTAACAAGAATGAAGAAAATTGAGTAAAAATTGAGTGAGATACAGTACAAAATATGGATTTTCTTTGTATCTCTCATTTTAATTTTTTCCTTACCTCAAAACCAGACATTTAAGCCTGGAGAACTGTTTATTACAGTTGGATATACTAATACTTAATTTATATACTAGCTTTTCTGTAAATTAACCATTCATTCTACTTTATTGAGAGAGGGGTAAAATGTGTAAAACTAACTATTTTTCCCTAGTCCTCCCTATACTCAATAAATCCTATTAATGCCCAAAATATATCTTAAAT